TCAAAAAAATTAAAAAGTCAAAAAATTAGCGTTTAATTGTATTGCCAAAATACTAATAAATTTTAATTTGGGAAGAGAGGCTTGTAATAAAACAAAAAAACAAAAAAATCACTATAAATTATTGTATGACTCTCTACTTTTTGCATATTTTTTTTTATACAAAGTCAAAAAAATTAACTAATGTAACTAATTCTCAAATCGGACTTAATTATTAGCTCAATTAAAGGCTATGTTTGGCATAAGCTAATTTGGTTATTTTAGTCACAAAAAGACAAAATAAACTAAAAAGTCAATAAAATAAAATATCACATTCAAATTATAATCATTTTTTTTTTCACAAAAGTCAAAAAACTCATCACAAACGAGTTAGCCTCGGGCTAAAATAATCAAAAAAAATTAAAAAGTCAAAAAATCAGCCCACATCCAAACGAAAGCTTAGAGACTAATTTATAATTTAATTTTTATAACAATGTGTATAATTAATTAAAATAAATAAATTACTAAATATATATAAATTATGTATATAATAATCTTGATTTTTTTATTATGTATGCAATTAGCTTTCTATAATGCATTGTTAGTGAGATAATTATCTAAGTCAGGTCGCCTATGATGTAAATAGATAAGGTTGTATGTTACGGAGGTCAAAGTGTAATTTTGAAATCCACTCTTCTCTCGTGTAAATGGACAATTTTGCATTTAGTAATACACAAGTAAAATCTTACAATCACTTCTCTAACTTTGTCCAACTCCGTAAATATCATAAATATTAGCTCCCGTTTGGCAAGTGAGTTGGAGTTGTTGGAATTAAAAAAGAATGAAAAGAAAAAAAAAGTTAAATAAATTAATAAAATAAAATATCACATCTAAATTATAATTATTTAATTTTTTCTCTCATAAAAAAATAAAAAAGTTAAAAAGATCAAAAAATTATTTTCAAACAAAATTAATTTAACCTGACTAAATTAACTAAAAATAATTAAAAAATAAAACTAAAAAAATCTTCCCAAACCAACCCTTAGTGTAGCTTTTTTGTTTTTTTTTGACACGTAGGCAAAGTTACATATTAGGCATGAAGGAGGTGAAAGACATTTTTGTCTTTTTGTTTTCAAATTTGCCAACTGGATTATTTCACTGCAACTGTATATCTGTATATATTCATTAGACTACTTGTGAAAAAAAGACATCTTTATTGATTTTACTATTTAAAATAAATTTATGATGATTCAATATAATTTTTAGATGAATGATTCACTAATTTTTAATAAGATAAATTATTAATAAATCTCAATAGTTAGATTTAATTTCTATCAAATCTTATTAAAAATAAATTATAGTAAAATCGTCATTAAAAATAATTTTTTGACATTTTTTTTTTGCATATGTAGTTAAAAATTGACAATTAATCCTTTTTTTTAGTCACGATTTTTATAAATTACGACTAAATCTTATAATTAGTGACGTTTTTTAATAACAAATTTTTTAAACTATCACTGAAAGTTGAAAATTAGTGACTTGTCTTTATGATGATTTTTTTAAACTGTCACTAAAATTATAATTAGTGACATTTTTTAATAGTATGATGAAAAATGTCATTAATTATCATAGAACCTATTAAATAATAAATTCATCTATTAAAATCTACATATAAGTGCTCATTTTGTTTTTATTTTTTTGAACGGCAAGCAAATCAAATTTTATTAAATAATTAAAAGATACAAAAGTTTAGGAGAAGTTGCATCATTGTTAAATAAGTTCCCATTTTTAATAAACTAAAATTGTGATTTCAACTCAAGCTACATCAAATTGATCTGTTTGCCAATGGCTTTTTGGCTAAAAAAAAACAAAAAGGTATAAAAGATAAAACAGACTAAGCCTCCATTTGGGAAGTGGGTTGGCTTTTTGGCTTTTTTGACTATATGAGCCTGGGCTCAAAAGCTTAGTTTGGGAAGGGCTTTTGGCTTTTTGGCTTTTTTGATTTTTTTGTGAGAGAAGAGTGTAATGATTATGAGATTGGATTGGATGTTTTGTCTGTTGTGGCTCATGAGCCTATTCTGTCTTTTATGGCTCATTGAGCAAAAAAAACCCAATAAGCCCTTGCCAAACCAACCCTAAATAAGTTAATAAAATAAAATATTATATCTAAATTATAATCATTTCACTTTTTTTCTCACAAAAGTCAAAAAATTCAAATCAAACAAACTTTTAGTTCTAAGCTAAAATAGTAATAAAAAAAAAAAAAAAACCGAGTTATGCTAGGGACTTCAAACAAATAACCAAATTTTCTATCAAACCTCTCACGTGAATGTGGAACTCACATATGATTTGTATAGGTCTCACACTCATGTGAGAGGTTTAGTAAAAAATCTGATCATTTATTTAAAATCATAGCATTTTCCAAAACGAAAAAACTAACTAAAAAAAATCAATTACCAAACAACAACTTAGATTTCAATAGATGATAAGTTTGATTTTAGATCAAAACTTTAAAATCAATTATGATTGATTCAATTTTGAATTTAGGATTGCTTTGAAAAGATGATTAAAAGTTGATTTTTTAGTCTTTTAATTTTTTTTTTTAAAATATGTAAAAAATATGAAAGATAATGTGATCCAAAATAAATTAAAAAGTTGAGTTTTAATTTTTTTTTTTTTCCGCCTCTTCCGAAAGAGCCCTTTTCCGTTTGGGAAGAAAAAAGCCAAGATTTTTTTGGCTAAAATAGCCACAAAAAACAAAATAGGCTATTTTAGTCACAAAAAACAAAACATCAAATCCAACCCATAATCATTACAATCCTCTCTCACAAAAAAAGTCAAAAAAATCAAAAAACCTTTTTCAAACCAGGCTAAAATAACCCAGATTAAAATAATTAAAAAATCAAAAAGTTAAATTTCCAAACGGAGACTTAGTGTTAATTCAAACCAAATCAACCGATGCACACCGCATGGTGGTGGCGGCTAGAGTGATGATGATAGTGATCTGATGATGATAACATTATTAGCTATAGTAGTGGTTATTGTTAAAAATAAAATAAAATAAAATAAAATAAAATAAAAATACTACGTAATTCAAATTTAAGTTTGTCTTGAATGGTTCAAATTTTATTTTGTCCATCGCCCGGCCGGTTATTCGGCAAAAAATCTAACAATTGTAGTTAACAAGATAACAATTATAGTAGACAAATGTTTCATTTGATCGTCCGGCCGGTCGACTGGTGAACACAAATTTGAGCTATTCAAGACAACTCAATTCAAGGTACCAAAGATTTCTCAAAAAGTAAGTAGTGATAAAATAAAAAAGAGTTACGATGGTCAAAACAACGACGATGATAGCGATACTAACATTTATAAGTCTAATATGTTTCATAAGTTTGAAAAACATTTTCACATTTTACATTGTTTACCAATATTAGCTCATTTTCTGACCACAAAAAATAAATAAAATCAGTACTTTAGTTTTTTAAATTGTTTATTTTTTCAAATGCTTCTTTAGTAGAAACTCCAAAAAATTGAGCCAAAAAATATATATGTTAAAAATTAAAAAGTCAACTATTACATAAGAAATGCTTATCAAGAGGGTCTAATCTAACTTTGCATATTTATACATCAAGTGGCTCCACTACACAACTATATTTGCACAAACATTGGAAAAGTTCGTTAAAATTGACATCAACAACCTTTGATCAATCTAACCAAGATCTCAGCCACAATGGCATTGGCGTTATCCTTACCATTATTGAACTCCTTTCTCACAAGGCTCTCCAGAGAGATGCCTGTTTTGGCAGCATAGGCCCTACTCACCTCCTTCACATCCAAGTCGCACCGAGTGATCACTATTCGGATCAGAAGCTCCCGAGCATCTCCATTCTTCATCCTCAGTTGCTTCGCAAAGAACCTCGCAGGGTATTGTATGCATCGGATAACAATCCGAAGCTCCTTACCAAACTGCCCGCACTTGCTTCGCTTGAGTGACTTGGCAAACTCATGACCATAGAGTTGTTTGTAGGCGACTAGAATTGCCCGGACTTGGCTAGTGTTTCTTTGACTAATCAGTGAAACGATGGTCTTTTGATCGATAATTTTCCCACTCTCCATTGCTTCGTAGAGTGTCTTGGCATCACACATGGCCATACTCGGGTTGGCTTTAACACCGTAGTTGCGGCAAGACTTCAATATCGCTAGCAAAATCTAATGAGAGCACAGCAAAATCGAATGAGAGCACCAAGAAAGTATAAGATTTCAAATATCACAGCCTATGATTCCATAAGCGCAATACAAACCCATAATTTTTTGCAAAATGGTGTCCAGAAAGCATATGTCAAATTTTCTGGGCTGCAGCATTACAGCAATAACATACCTCTTTGAATCCACCATTAACCTTTAGCGCAACATCTTGGTCAATGTTGGAATTGTATAGGGAACTATATGCCTGCTTAATCGCTTGTAGCTCTGATGATGATCGGGTGCATGCAATCTCAATGAGAGTGTTGAGATTCACACTTCCTCCATAAAGCGAATTCCTCATCATCTCCGCATCACGCTCTTGCGGTTCACTTATGCGAAAATAAGCTGCCCTCTGTTCATACAACAATTTAACATTTTCATACTAACAAAAATACAGTGAAAAGCAACTTTGACTTAAAGAGCGAAAATGCTTACAAAATAAAGGTTGCTCCTCTGAGCCTTTGAGGTGACACGAAGATCTTGGTTGTACAGAGCCCTATAGGTCTGGCAAAGAAGCTTCAACTCTTGTGAGTTCCTCAGAAGGATCTCTGCAAGGCTTTGTTTGTTGCTTGCAACATTGCCTGTACAGTAATGAAATGAGTTTCCAAATAATGAACAGTAGCTAAACCAAAAGAAGATGAAAGAAGGTAACTAACTACCCGAAATGTAACGATGAATGAGTTGGCAATCCAATTCGAGCTTTTTCAAGTTTTGAACAGAGTTGCTGCCCATCTCGTCCCTTTTTGCCTGTTTTCTGCTTTCGATTCCTGGATACAAATAACAAAAACTATGATACCCAATTTATAAGCTAGAAAAAGACTGTTGTGTGTACCAATGGAATACTTCACTATGGTTTGGCTTTTCATTCACAAAAAATGAAGCAAGCACAGGGGAAACAATAGCCACGTCCAAAGTGGAAGAATATATATAAAGGAACATATCCTCAGTTCCAATATCAACCATACCCTTTCCACCACACTTCACTTTCTCTTGCCAGCTTATTTGCTTGTTGTAACTCAGAATAAACATTACATCATTACAAATATATAGATAAACAACACAATAATAAAGCATCTCTTCTACAGCATATAACTCGAAAAGATGTCAACATACAGTATGAAGATTGTCCCACCAGGTACTAGAAAGGGATTTTTCATATCTCAGAGAGTTGTCAGTCGTTACAAAATTGTGGCTTATTTCAAATTTTAACCACTTGAGCAAATCTGATCAGAAAACATACCAAGGGGTTCAAGAATACAGTATACTTATAAATAAGATACACAACCTTGCAAGGACATCTCGTTGAGCGATTATACCATAAGATACACAATGCTTTCCCAGTAGATCCATAAAAATTTTAATCACATATTCAGCTGCATTGCTTCTTGCAAAATGATTCAAGGGTATTAAATCAATCCAACTACGATACATATGGTTTATTCCAAATTTCAATGTGATATCTACTAATGAGGCCAAGGATACAAAGAAGATATCGGTAACCACTGATTCCACTGCCCACAAAATATGGTACTCAAAACTTTTTCTTGGTAGATAGTACTCAGGCAAGTGTGAACTTCATCCCCGTGGAGACGAGCAGGAAGTTGCCATAATAACGAACAAATTTACAAAGTTGATAGATGAAGCATTGTCTTCTATCCTCTAATTGGCTGCAGTTGGTGGAAGCAGTGTTCTCTCAAAGCTACCTTTCGCTTGTGAACCATTTCATAGAAGGAGCATACATATCACATGTTCCAAGCTCTCTTTGTCATTTCACTATGCCACATTGAACCAACAGTCATCTACTTCACGGTAGTCACCGTAATATTGATTGCGACAGCCACGGAAAACTTGAGGGTTCCTGGCAATTAATTCCTGCAAAACAAATAGATAAACCATAAAGTAAGACAGGATATATAAACTCTATACAACATATAATTAGACTAATTCTTTAGAAATATTTCTTTCAACAACAGAGAGGTTTGAAGAAGATTATACATATTACCAATCAATGACAATTGACACCATCTTACAAATTGAACTTTTGTACTAATGATTGCATAGTGGTTTGGTCCATCCATCATGGATTCCACTAACACCACTAATACAAATATCTGGAAAAAGTATTCCATAGAAAACGTTTTAAACGTTAGAAAGTGTTGTCTGCCAAAACAAATACAGTGTTAGTGAGAAACCTTTGAATAAAAATATACGACCTTCCACATCTATAAGCAATGAATGTTTTGAATACTCAACTAAATGCGACTAGCCTTTGTCTCATTTACTTGGGGGTTGGCTACAAGAATATTTTTCCTCCAGTTGACTCTATTACAAGCCATGTCCTCAATTAAGTCTATGACAGTAGGTGTAGAATCCATGTTCATAAGGTATAACCAAAGTTTTATGTTAGCCATCAAACCTACTACAACCCTCCTTCTTAGCTAGCTGACACTTAGCATGACACAGAGAGTTAATAAATGTTTTGAATTGTGAATAATACTAATAATAAATAAATGTTTTAAATACTATGAGAAATAAAAGGTCATAATTAAGAGTCGCTTGGAGTTTCTTATAGAAATAGACATGGGCCTAATCTGGTCCATTTTCTAGATTACCCAAACAATTCCTGAAGACCTGTGTGAATATAATCCCACCACCAAACAAATTGTAACAGTGAATTCTAAGTTTCACCAAACCAAATTTTCATTTTTCAACAGATCTTGTTTTACATTAAATTTCCCGAAGGGATAACTAAACCACAATGATATGACTACTTTCTCGTTATATAGGACTGCCTTCTGGTTTATTTATTCTGTTGATGAGAGCTTTCCATTCCTTCATTTATTCGTTTGAAATGAAATATATACCTAAAACACATAAAAATGCCCACCCTGGTTTCCCATCTCTTGACAGTTACCTTCTTTACGAGAATGTTCTTTTTCCAAGTAGCAAAAGGCAAAGTTGTACAGGACGAAATAGGTGAGCATCCAACTGTTCTGCCAGACCAAAATTGTCCCACAACAAAAAGTTGATTGTCAGACAAGCATTTGTTTTTGCTCAGTAGAATAGGAGACAAGTAACAAGAAGCAAATATTAGTTCAATGTTAACAGCATAGCAATAATAACTATGAAGAAGAAAAAAAAGACGTAAAATTACCAGTGGAATATTAATGAATCATCCACCCGCTGCCAAATGCAAAACCTGAAATAAGAAATTATAAATAAAAACAAAGGTATTAATTAGCAATCATTTAGTTTCATAAAATAATCAATTTTCTTTAAGAAAGATAAAGTAACAGACTGGCACCATTAAGTGTCAACCACTGATCTTGTGGTGCATTCTCTTTCGTTCCCTTTCCTATACCGAGCAAGGTGCTTATGATATTCTTCCAGCTCTTTCTCCAGTTTTTCAATGAACTGACTCGTATGCTCTAGGGACTGCTCAAACCTGTACTTTTCCAGGGCCTACAAATTGGAAGTGGAAAGGCAAATTTATCCAGACGTTAATGCATCTATAATAAGTGAAAGGAGATATAAGACACATCAAAAAAAACACCCAAAATTTACATGGCACTAGATGAGTGAGTTGTAATTGAAAATTTTGAAGAATCTCACAGATGTAAGGCACAAGAATAAGCTGAACTACAATGCAACCAGCTTCAAATAGTTGCGACACTCGCAGAATGAACATTCAACAATATAAAGCACTAACAAGGACCGCCCATTCTGGCATTTTAGGGGCATGGAATTCATCACTATCTCAATATATGGTCATCCATTGTGTAAGGGTGGATTGAATCCCGTCCCATCCAGCATAGGCATGTAGTCATGTTGTTAAGAATCTTACGATTCCTGATTTTAATCTTGCAATTCATTTTATTCAACCGTGCTTGGTATGAATTACTAGGTCAAACCTCATATAATAAAAAATAAAAAATAAAATTAATGAATCTTTGTAATCACAAGTGAATCTCACAATTCGGAATTCACGTGATTTAGCAGTCGATAGCTTTTCAATTGTAACTATCACAAAAGTTCCTTTTTTTCTTCTCTTCTTCAAATATCTCCTTCTATCTTCCAAAATAAGCTTCTAAAAGACCTTTTTTGCTCTTTAGGGTTAAAATAATTTTGGAACTAGTAAAAGTGCTTCTGGCTCTTTAAAAGTTTTAGAAAACATTAAAAACTGCCTTCACACAATTTTAGAAGAAACAGAAAAGGAGAAAAACAGAGGTAATGGCTATTATGTGAGTTGTTTTGTAGAAGATCAAAATTTCTGGTGGTTACACAAATGGAAAAGGGAAAGAAAGAAATTGCAGAAAATGTCAAATAAAAAGACCTATCTAAGACACAATAAAGAAGTAGGAACTGGTTATTCAAACTTTATTCTTTTTATGGCCATAATCAGATTAAATACCATTTGTTTTCTACAATGATGAAAAGGCAATGAATAATGTAAAATAAATTGATAGAGAGAGAATAAACTGTATGTATTATTGATTGATATATTTATGTTATTTATTACAAATGGTGAGGGGCTCCTTATATAGGAGATGTAGTGGAGTAGGTGGTAGTGGTAGGTGTGTAGTAGGTGGTAGTAGGTGGTGGTAGGTGTAGTAGGTGGAGTAGGTGATGGTAGGTTTTTAACAGGCCCCCGCAAACTCAAGGGGGATAGGAACTAACCAACTTGAATTTGGAGAGAGTAACAAAACAAGAAAAATAAAATAAAATAAAAATGGATAGGAGACACTGTATGGTCGTGTCAGACCGTTGTAGAAGACTGTATGGTTATGGCAGACCGATGTAGAAGACAGTTTATGGGGTCATGTCGGACCGTTGTAGCAGACAATGTTGTGACAGTTGTTGTGACAGTTTACGGAGTCTTGCTAGACCCTTGTAGAAACTAACCGGAATCAATGTCGGGACCGTTGTAGAAGACTGTATGGTTATGGCAGACCGTTGTAGAAGACACTGGCTCGTGTCGGACCAATGTAGAAGACAATTTATGGGGTCATGTCGGACCGTTGTAGCAGACAATGTTGTGACAGTTGTTGTGACAATTTACAGAGTCTTGCTGGACCCTTGTAGAAACTAACCGGAATCAATGTCGGGACAGTTTACAGAGTCTTGTCGGACCCATAAAAAGTCGCACCCTCAAAAGGTGTGCCCAATCTGTCAAAAAGTGTGCCATCAAAAGACGTGCCCAATCCATAAAAAGGCATGCCATCAAAAGGCGTGCCATCAAAAGACGGGCCATCAAAAGGCGCGCCCATGTTGTCGTCGAGCGCCGAGCGGCGCATGATGCGCGTGTCGGCCTCTTCGTCAGGGTCTTTATAAACTGAGGCGGAGGCTGTGCTTACCAGTCTGAAACCGCCGAACATTTGCATTCTGAAATACTTTGTAAACACTCTGTAACCAATCCTTCTCTGAAAGTACCAGTCGGAAATCGCTGCTTCGCTGAAACACTCAGCAACCCAAAAAACATGGCCTCTTCTTCCCGTCCAGCGACCCAGAACATGGCCTCCTCTTCCCGTGGGCTGCTGATGATGATGATGATGATGATGATGATGATGATGATGATGATGATGATGATGATGATGATGATGATGATGATGATGATGATGATGATGATGATGATGATGATGATGATGATGATGATGATGATGATGATGATGATGATGATGATGATGATGATGATGATGATGATGATGATGATGATGATGATGATGATGATGATGATGATGATGATGATGATGATGATGATGATGATGATGATGATGATGATGATGATGATGATGATGATGATGATGATGATGATGATGATGATGATGATGATGATGATGATGATGATGATGATGATGATGATGATGATGATGATGATGATGATGATGATGATGATGATGATGATGATGATGATGATGATGATGATGATGATGATGATGATGATGATGATGATGATGATGATGATGATGATGATGATGATGATGATGATGATGATGATGATGATGATGATGATGATGATGATGATGATGATGATGATGATGATGATGATGATGATGATGATGATGATGATGATGATGATGATGATGATGATGATGATGATGATGATGATGATGATGATGATGATGATGATGATGATGATGATGATGATGATGATGATGATGATGATGATGATGATGATGATGATGATGATGATGATGATGATGATGATGATGATGATGATGATGATGATGATGATGATGATGATGATGATGATGATGATGATGATGATGATGATGATGATGATGATGATGATGATGATGATGATGATGATGATGATGATGATGATGATGATGATGATGATGATGATGATGATGATGATGATGATGATGATGATGATGATGATGATGATGATGATGATGATGATGATGATGATGATGATGATGATGATGATGATGATGATGATGATGATGATGATGATGATGATGATGATGATGATGATGATGATGATGATGATGATGATGATGATGATGATGATGATGATGATGATGATGATGATGATGATGATGATGATGATGATGATGATGATGATGATGATGATGATGATGATGATGATGATGATGATGATGATGATGATGATGATGATGATGATGATGATGATGATGATGATGATGATGATGATGATGATGATGATGATGATGATGATGATGATGATGATGATGATGATGATGATGATGATGATGATGATGATGATGATGATGATGATGATGATGATGATGATGATGATGATGATGATGATGATGATGATGATGATGATGATGATGATGATGATGATGATGATGATGATGATGATGATGATGATGATGATGATGATGATGATGATGATGATGATGATGATGATGATGATGATGATGATGATGATGATGATGATGATGATGATGATGATGATGATGATGATGATGATGATGATGATGATGATGATGATGATGATGATGATGATGATGATGATGATGATGATGATGATGATGATGATGATGATGATGATGATGATGATGATGATGATGATGATGATGATGATGATGATGATGATGATGATGATGATGATGATGATGATGATGATGATGATGATGATGATGATGATGATGATGATGATGATGATGATGATGATGATGATGATGATGATGATGATGATGATGATGATGATGATGATGATGATGATCGTGTTTATGATCATCATCATGATGGTCTTGCGCTTGGTGATTTTGTGACGCCATTGATTCTAAGCTTGCAAGATTTTAGCAGAGTGAGAGAGAATTAGGGAAGGCTTTAAAGTTTGGTGAATGAATCCATCATGATGAGTTGTTGAAGAATCTGCCATGAAAGAAGAAATTAAGGAAATTTGGGTTTGTCCGGCGGACGGCCAAGGCAAGATTGCCGCCCGCCGGTGGAACGAAATTACTAGGTTCTTAACCTAGCTCTGATACCATGTAAAATAAATTGATAGAGAGAGAATAAACTGTATGTATTATTGATTGATATATTTATGTTATTTATTACAAATGGTGAGGGGCTCCTTATATAGGAGATGTAGTGGAGTAGGTGGTAGTAGATGGTAGTGGTAGGTGTGTAGTAGGTGGTAGTAGGTGGTGGTAGGTGTAGTAGGTGGAGTAGGTGATGGTAGGTTTTTAACAAATAATAACTCCTTTCTTATCATAGTACTAAAGGTAACTTTCTTAACAAAGAAATTAACAAACAAGCACAAAAGAAGAATTAAAAAGAATGCTCCAGATAAGCATTTTTCCCATTATATTACATGATCATGCACTAGCATAGTATCCTTATACGAAGTCTCAACATGTAACCTATAGAAACTACCTGAAGGACCACACGTAAAATTATAGAGCCAATTAGAATGTGAAACATATAAAATGGTTGAATACAATTACAACCAAAAAAAAAAGGTGGGGGGGCCAGAACACATATGCACTCAATGTTGCCAGAAATGCACTCACGCCAGTTGATTAAAATTCAAAAAATAAAAAAAAATCATACTTTCGCAGGAAATTAAGTTGTAGGAGGGAAGCATGTTACCACAAAAGGGTGAAATAACTAACATCTTCTACAAAATTGTTTCAGAAACACTGAAAATTTTAGTAAATATTTTCCAAAATGATTGTAGAGAACGTATGCGTTGTTGTCTATCCAGGGCCATCAACCTACATCTTACCCGTAGCCCTTATCCTTACATTTTCTTTCTGGAAACCTGTTAGTTCCCAACACAATCTCCCAAAATTTAATCTCATTCAATAATGACAAAAGCTGGAAAATTGTATGATGGTAAAAGAAAATTATATCCAAAATGATATCGATTGATCATAATAGTCAGAAGTTAGACTACTGAAGTGTCCAGAAATAGAATGCGAAAAATCAACCAGATAGTTGTTTCTAAAATAACTCCAAAATAGTTTAAGTGCTATACCAGGACCAAAATAGTTTGGAAATCCCAGCTTGCTAGTTAGGCAGTTGGTAGTAATAGCGCATGCTCTTGGCTACTTAAAATATAGTAAATATGATGACGATTGCGGGTTAGATCTAAAACTAACCTTAGACTTGATTTCAACATCATATACCGCTAATAACTAACCCTAGATCAGAGTGATATGGCTAAATGCCTTCAGAAAAAGAAAAAAAGGAAAGTCCATATGATACTATTTTTTTTCTGACAAACAATCGGCACATGATCAACAAGGAGATACATTACCTTGGCTTTAGATAAGGTATCCGGAGGTGACATCACTTTTGGCTGTACATAATTCTTTCCACGATAGAATATTATAGTATTGTTAGGTTTTATATCAATCACAATGCCTTTGCTCAGCCGTGCAAGATCTTCAGCATACTCATGAACCTGTCCGGGCTTACAAGGCTTGCAAATAACCTTAACAGTCTCATGCTTTTTCCAGTGAAGATGCATATTGAGGACAACACCTCCAAATACTCCTCGCCTCCCAACTGGAACATAATTCTTCTTTTTCTCACCAGTACGCTTTAGGTAAAATTTCTCTTCCTCGGTTAGAATTTCGGGATCATATGTTTCAGCTGGGGCTTTAGGTACCTCAAAATTCCTAAGTTTCTCAATCAACCATGCTTCTTTTCGTTTAGCCTGAACAAATATCATAAAGAATTAGAGTAAAATTAAGAGGCTATCAAGCTCAGAAATATCAATCATCCCATTGAAACACAAAATCTCAAAAATCCTCGGCAATTTAAATAAACAAAATTTTCCTTTCTCAATAAGAAACAGTTAAGACTTCCTTTTATCAGAGAGATCAGGAATGAAGGAGCTTCACATAGTTTTTAAAATTTTAGAGAATGCAGTAACATTATGGAAATTGTTGTGTGGTTCTTACGGAAAATTTCCAGCCAAAAACATAAGTTAAGTAATGGCAGCTAAAACAACAAAATCATAAAACCCACTCTTCTAGTTTCAAAAACAGCAAATAAAATAAAAGGACAAGACAAAAGCAAAAGCTTCGGTGCATATGATTTTCCCACACAAATAACACGAAAAATAAAATAAAATTAGACAAGGTCAATTTTAAAATAAATAAATCAATAAAAAAGAATCTGACAAGGCTCCCTACCTTTTCAAGTTTGTATCTAATCCTAACTTCTGGATTTGGAGATTTCATCTTTTTCTTCGCTTTCAGACGATATAACCTGAGTTCATTTAATTTGGCCTTCTTAGACATTTTAACCCGTTTGACTCTTTTCTGCCCTTTTGTTGGAGACCCCTTTTTCTCAAGCAGCTTGCCCAAACTAAACCTAACAACATCATTCTCCATCTTCAGCTCAATTGAGGTACTGCTCATACATCTAGCATGTAGCCATTTTACAAGAGTATTATGATACCCAGGCATCAATGATCCCTGCATCATTGACGTATTTAATTGAGAGGAAATACATAATGCTCCTAAATGAGGTCCCTCTGACGTGTAGCTTCTCTGGTTTGCAAACGTGATGCAAGTAAGAGACTCTGTAAATCTGTCCCCAGGAAACAATGAGAGACATGAAACGTTTGGATCTATATAAGAGTACCAGACTAGAGAATCCCTGCATACAGGATAGATAAATATTCATCACCATAGACCTCCTCTAACAGGAAAATGCTACTTGAATAGAAAACTTTTAACCACTTACATATGTTGATGATATCTTGTAAACTACAAGTGAAAGTAGAAAAAATTCCAGAAAAAGTTAAATCAGAATTCAGAACTACTCTTGATTTGCCTAATCATTTGGATTGTAATGGCAATTAAAATACAAGCATACATTCAATCTCTACGTGTTTAATCTGTGAATTCATCACATATTTATAGTATTAACTTGAAGGATATACCAAATAATGATAAGAAACATATCAAAGCCAATTGTTAGCCTGATGTGCTATGATGCATATTGCATAGCAATTGGATGAATAGAAGTCTTCTAAAAAAACTATACATCTGATTCATAAAATGGTCGGTCCTGGTCATTTCTAACCGCACATGGAAAATACTTACCTACTAAAAATAATGGTAAAGATTTTACCATCACTAATCCATACTGGAGATGATTCCTGGAATGGAATTATTCCCATATTTGTGCTCTAGACAACCCTATTTGAAACCCGGGTATCCAGAAAAGTCTCTAAGGATCAATTGATGTAGTAGTACTAAATCTAATCATGGAACATCATGTTGATTAATTCATATTCACATAAGTTTTAATTAATATAATATCACATGTGTTTTTACCACTAGCAGTGTGATTTGAGTTCAAATTCATTACAATCTATTAGACCATGATTAAATTTCAGAACCATCGTGAAGCAACAATTCAAAAGAATGATAAATATAAAGCCCTAAACTGGAAACAAAGCAAAAATAAGAATCCGATATATTTTTTTCTTCTACATTCCTAAATTTTAGCAGCAACCAAACGGTGATCAGAATGTAAGACGGAGAGAGGCAGTGAAACCCTAAAACCCTAGAAAATTATCATAAACTAAAATGTTTGAATGAAATTCATGAAAAAAATATACCTCTTGATAGTGGGGAGATTAGGAGATTTGCAGTAGAGGATGCTGGAAAACCCGCGTCTCATACCTTTGATTGAAACTCTAGTCCACACCATCTTCACTTCACCCCTCCCTCTCTCTCTCTCTCTCTCTCGCTCGCTCTACGTTATGGGTGGGGTGGGTGATTTTGAGAACTAACTATTAAAAAATACATCACTAATAATACTGATGCATTGAGAAGGGTAATGCTAGGGAAACTAAATTTTCTACCAAACAAATGATCAAATATCTCATATGGGTGTGGGGTTCGCAATTTTGTGGGCCTCATATCCATGTGAGATATTTGATCATTTATTTGATAGAAAATTTGGAACCTCTAGCATTTTCCCATTGAGAATGACCAAAAAAAAGCAAAACAAAAGCAAAAACAAAGCATAGAAGGTGAGCGGACCTATTATCGCATCATTATTAGTGTTTACCTAGTACTTTATTTTTAGTGTTTTCAAGTATTTTTATTTTAAGAATAGGTAAAATGATTCATAGCATTTGGTAATTTTGTGTTTCTGGTTTATGTTTACAAAAAAGAAAAAAAAAAAAAAAAGTTATAAATTAATTTTTTGTTTATTTTTTAAAAAATATAAATTATAAATGTATTTGGTTTAAATAAAATATTTGAAATTTTTTTAAAATATAAACTAAAAATATATTTGTCTTTTAATTGATATTATTAATTGAATGAAGTGACACAATATAAAATACTAACAGATAAATTAATATAATTAAAAATAAAAAAAAATAAAAATTACAAAGACTATGTGGTCTGGCTCACGTTATGTTTGACATGGACTTTTTTGGTTATTTAAGTTGCAAAGGAAAAAATAAGTTAAAATATCAATAAGATAAAATGTCGTGTTCAAATCATAATTCATTTTATTTTTTTCTCTCACAAAAATCAAAAATATCAAAAAATTCTATCACAAACGAGATTTTTTAATCCCAAACTAAAATAGTTAAAAAGTCAAAAGTCAACCTACATTCCGAAGGAAGGCTCAATTTGCCCCATTTTTGAAAATTGAATTAATGCATCTATGTTTTGGTAAGTACTTACAAAATATACAATAGGATTGTCACTTAATTGTTTGAAAATTATTTTATTAACTCTATTTTATTAAATTTTCACAATGTATAATGAGATATTTTTCAACTATTTCGGATGCTACTTAACATATAATCAATTCATATTAAAAAACTAAAATTTTGGAAATATGAATTTGTAATTATTTATCAATTTTAACCAGTAAATAGCAATTTCAATCAAACAATTAAAGACAAATCGACACAACGATTTTAACGTGGGAAAATCACAATTGGAGCACATCCAATTGTGATAAAAAAAAATCACGGGCTAAAGCCACAAAACAATCTACTAAGAAGACAAAAAGGAATTACACAAGTGTATTCTTAATTACCTAACGAATCCACGCCTAAATTAAGCTGACCCCAGTGTGCCTCTTTCACCGTTGTCTTCACCTCGAAATTGTCTTATTCAACGTTAAATCCATAACGTTGATGTCAAATCCACATTGATGAGTCATTCTAGAATCCACCAAAGCCTTAGGTCCAAATTCTACGGAATCCACCGAAGAATAACTCTATCTTTTTTGAATAAAATAAAATAAACAAACCCTTTGATATAATCCACTTCTCTCACAGATATCAAAGTAAATAAGCAAAGAAGCCTTAGATGAAAACTTTAATACCCAAGAAGAAGATCTAGAAGTCGTACCTTAAAAACTAAATTAATCGCAGATTTATAGAAAACAGAATCGCGATCTCTGCTCGAGCCTAGGAATGGACGCTTGAGCGGTCTAATTAAAACGCGTGTTTTAGAACAAGAATCTATGCTCGAGCACAGGAAAGGCCGCTCGAGCGTAAAAATACCACTCCCAGTACTTTTGCAGGTGAGTGAAACTTCTGAAAGGATTACATCTTCGCTCGAGCGGTCAAACAATTTCGATTGTAATTTTGTTTTTTGCTTCAGGGGCGCTGTCCCTTAACCTCACATGAGCCCCGCCTCCTGGAGCCCCGCGAGCTGATCAGGCAACTTAGTCTTGGACATAGTCAGCGGAGTGGCAAATATGATAGCATTAAGATCACAAACTGCTCTGCATAGGCACAATTCGGGTTGTATTCGTATCTAAATACTCATAGCTGCACTTAAATAACAGATCGAATAAAATTATAGTTGAAAAGAATTTTATTAAACAAGATTGTCAAATACAAAAACTTAACACATATAATCAATTTTATTTTGTAGAAGAGGTGAATGTCACTTCTTCTTGCGTTTTCCATTTTTTTTTTTTCCATTTTTTATCAAAGAGTTATGTATATTTTTTATTTACAAAAATGATTTGGACCCCTACAGGGGAGGCACCCCCACGATCTTCTCTGGCTATGATTGACCAGTTTTCTTTTTTTTCTTTTTCTTTTTTTCTCCTCCAATCACCAGCCTCCACGTGTGTGTGAGGGTGGTGGGGGTGGTGATTGGAGGGGGTCTCAATCACTTCTCTTTTATTTATTAGATATTGTCAACAGGGGTAACTACATGAAGCCGGTAGGGGTAAGGTTCCATCCATCGACTCATCACTTTACCAAAAACCTTGATTTTTTTATTTTCTTTTGGATAAAAGAAAAAAATTTAATTGATAATTAATTGATCCCATTAAAAAATTGAGAGATCACATTCGTTATAAATCAAAACTCATTAGCAACCTAATCATTTTTTATTACACTCTCTTTTCAATGCTTAAACCAAATAAGAGATTAATGATTGAATAGTTACTTGATTACACTTATAAAAAAATATAAAAAAATGAATGTGTCTGACGCTATTGATAATGTAATTATCATGTAACAATTAAAAGAAGAAGAAGATAAATTATAAATATACCTCTTGAGATTTATTTAAAGTACATATTAGTGTTGTTTGGCAAGAGAGTTCTGGGCTAATTTAGCCACTACAGTCCAAAATTGGCTAAATTAGCCACAAACCAACAAAAACACATTCAGGGGCGTAACTTACATACAAGGAGGGGTGAAAGTACCAAATTACCCCTGGGTCAGTGTTCACACCATCACACCCTCGAACCCACACATTCGCAACAGTTAGGTCATCCACTTTAGAGCTGAAGCAAACGAGGCGATCCAAACGGCGCTTGAGGGGAAAAAAGAACGACGATACTTTTGACATTGGTGTGCCACCGGAGTTCATATCGGCGGCGACCCTGCAACTCAGGCTCTCAAAGATCTGGAATTTGAAGGTAATGGTTGCTTTCCCTTTTTTTTGGGAGGGGGGGTTTGTTTGCGTAATACCCTATCCTTCAACTCGATCTGCTCGGTTGATCTTTGGAACCCATTGTTGTTGTTGCTTAAAAAAATTTCCTCCACTTAGTTTGGGTTACATTTTTTTCATTTCGATTTGCATAATGGGAAAGCCACCGTTATATCTATGGCACTCACTGCAAAACCCCACTCAGATTTTGAATCTGTGATGGAAACTAGACGTCACGGCCGATTAGTGGTTGAAAACACATTTTTCTTAACGTTTATTTAAGGTGTTTTTCACATTACGATGTCTGAATCTACCACCTTATGATTTCTCTACAAAACCCATTTTCTGTTTTTTTTTCTGCCAATTTTTTGTGAAATCTGGAATTTCTACATCCTGATTTGTCACCCAATCTAAAATCAAAATTATTTCCTTCATAAATCTGCCTCACCTGAAATCTGAATTCTAAAATTATATTTTTCTCAAATATGAAACATGCATTTCATATGTTTTCTCATTTTTTCCCCCTCATTTCTGGAATTTATATACCAATTTTTTTGCTTAACTCTGAAAACTAACTTACTGTGTTCATAACTCTGCCAATGGCTCCATGTGAAACATTCTGAATTTAGAAACAAATGTCTCCATGTATTTTTATAAACAACAGAACCAGTGTTTTGTTCATAACACATTGTAATGTCTCCATCATGTCTGTTAAACAAATGGAAAGTTGTGTAAATCTGTGAATGAAATCTGATTCTGTGAACAATTTCATATCAGAAGTTCAATTTGATTTCTTATAATCCTCATTCTCTTAAACACTGGTAACTTGATTTCTTATAATTCTCATTAAAAATGAAAAATTTCAGATCACAAGTTCAAATTGATTTGTCAATGTTGCATGAAATCTGATTCTGTGAATGAAATCTGAAATTTGAAACTAGACTTAAATCTGTGAATGAATATCTGATTCTGTGAATGAATATCTGAAACCAGACTTGATTTCTTATCATTGTCATTAAAAAATAAAAAATAACAATGCTGAATATTATCTGTGAAATACCTATTGAGTCAAAGCTGAATGAAATCTGAGTCTGTGAATGAAATCTGAAATCTGAAATTTGAAAGGTTCTGTGAATGAAATCTGTGAATCACATCTGACTCTGCTACAAATTTCTGTTTTGTAACATTGGTAATGTCAATGCTAAATGAAGAAAGAAATGTAAATGTATGTATTGCTAACATTCTGAAATCTGAATAAAACCCTCTGCTGTTGTATTAATAAATCTGAGAATGTCTCCATCTCTCTTCCAAAAAATAGTCCTCATATCTGTCTTCATTCATATATGTCAGATTTTTGGGTTGTGGTTATTCAACTTCACTTCTTCAAACACTGTTATTATAAACTGTTAACTTGATTTGTTTTTGTGTTATTGAAGTTCATTTTTTTTCTGGTTATTCATATATCCGCTTTTCTATTAACTTGATTACTGTACTAGTGTTTCTTATTATATTTCCCTTATATTATGACAGTTGTCATAATATTACCAATTCTAATTGATTTAATGTTAATATGTGATACCAAACATTGGGTTGGTGACATTCTGAACTGGGTGTGAAATGGATCGGACTGTGAGTGGTTATAACTCTTTTTCAGTTGATCTAGTCTAAGTATATATAAATTAATTTTAGATATTTTTTTTAAAAAAAGTATGTCTAATTTTAGTCATGTGGATACAAACTTAATCTTTAACATTATTTATATAAAAAGACTATTCTCAAATTTCAAAAAACGTAGTAATAATAATAATAATAATAATAATAATAATAATAATAACAACAACAACAACTAGGATA